GAAAATTCGTTAGTCATCAAATCGTTAGGAATCAAATGTACGACCGTTTTATTCTCTTTATTGCTTCCTTTTTAATCATCGATATACATTTTGTTTAAATAGGTTAAATAATTCAAGATGAAAATCATTGTGCTGTTAGCGGTTGTGTGCGCTGCATTAGCCGACTCGATTGATTACTATACGACTGCTGATGATAACCTGGATATGAAGGCGGTGATAAACGATCCAGCGAAGCTCAAAGCCATGACTGACTGCTTCTTGGATAGAGGCTCATGTGATGATGTTGCAATGAGTTACAAAAGTAAGTAAAAAAAGTATGTCATATCAAACGTTAGATCCCAAAATGGCGACCTCCAAGTATCTCGTGAATCTTAAATCTATTTTCATATTTAGTGAATGATTTTTTTTGTAAATAAAACTAATTATGAATTCAATAATTAACTGTCTAGTCTAATCCTAATTAAAAGACAATTGACATAAGACGGCGAAACTAATTTCGATACAATTCTTTCTAAATCTGATATTTTCTTGCTTGCTTTACGCGTTACGAAAGTCCGTAACCATGTGAAAATTGAAATATTTTATTTATGATTTTCAGAAATAATTCCTGATAGTATAGAAAACTTGTGCAACCGTTGTAACGACGCTCAGAAGCATTTGGCCAACACATACATGAACGGTTTGCTTTCGAACGCTCCAGAAGATCACGACAGTTTCCTAAAGAAATATGACCCTGACGCAAAATACACGACCAAATTTATGGAAGCTGTTAAAGACTTTTAAGCATTGCATTGTCATTAAATAAATCAGTTTCGCATTCAAATTTGTTTATTGTACTTTCGCACCCGTTTTTGTTTTTTTCTTCATAGACAAGGTGTTTAATGTAAAAATCTTCAAATCTTTTAACTAGTGATATTGACTTAACAACCTGTTTTTATTAATAACAGTCAAATGAGGTTGGATAAGAAAATTAAAAATAAAGTCAGATTTGACGTTAGTGGTTAAGCAAAATTATTCTCTTGTTTTTTTTTAATAAAGTAGTTTCAAACACAAGTATTTAGTCTTACTATGTCTGACACATATCGTTAATTTTTGAAACTAAACAATGCTGGTATCCAATCGTACGAGCTAGTTGTAAATGCGCACTTTAATGTCGGGAATCGTACGCGCAACTGCTGTTTGATCTCGTGAGAGTGTCAAAGAGGAGAGAAATTTAAATTTCACTTATAACCAAATAAATTAATATGTCTTTATAAAGTTTAATTTATTTCAAATGAATTATTATGTACATGTTTGTCCATTTCGTTGCTCAGGATTCTCTTAGTCATAAGCGATTTCACTTGACATAAACTTGGACTACTGCTAAGTTATACGTTGAGCTTCTCTGAATACTATTATAAAAGTGATATGGTAGTGATATAAGGGAATGAACATAATAAAAGTAATTCAATCATTGAGTTGTTTCAACATTTCTATTAGCCACGTAGGAACACCTCCATATATGTATCCTCCAAGTATTTATATGCTCAACAGTATTCCTACAGCTACTCACTAAATAATATCCAAACAATTACATTGTGTACACTGTAGTTATATAACCCCGTGTGTCACCACCATAATTATATTTTATATAAACAAAACCATTGCAACATAGTAGTACAAAGATCCTTTATATTTGAATAGCCGAAATGCTGTTACATGATTTACGAACCACTCTTAGTTCTTACTAAGTAACGTTTCCTTGTAGAGCGTGAGAACAATGTGTCAGCACAACGGTCACGTAGGCCTGTAAAGGTCGATTTACATCAAACGAACATAGAGCTAGAGCTAGAACAAGAGCATTCTTTCGTAATCTTTTAGTGTAAACGAAAGCTAGAGGTATCGATTTACATCAAACGAACATAGAGCTAGAGCTAGAACACAAGAACGCTTTGAAAAGACCGCTCAGTGGCGCGAGCACGTCCGAACACGCTAGAACGCTCTAAGCGACTGTTCGCGCGCTCTTGCGCCGTTTACATCAAGCGAACGAGCATTCTTAGAATATTCTATAGAATCTTTGCGAACGCACTAAGAACAACGAAAGAATGCTCTACGCCTGTTTACACTAGAAGAATTTGATGTAGTGGGGATAGAATGAGCATTCGCTCGTTTGATGTAAATCGACCTTAAGAATAGGATATAAATATAATAGAACGCTTGTAATATACAGTATTAAACGGACCTCAAATCGGACCGGTTGTATTCATTTTAACTTTAAGTTTTTAAAAAACCCTTATTTCGCGGACCCACTACTTGACTCTGTACAATTGTTCAAAACAAAGCCAAAAACAAAATAAACATTCAAATATAAACAAAGCACAGTTTTACCTATATATAACAAAGTATATACATATGTATTTTTAATAAATTCTAAGTTCTAAGATTCATTCATCATTATAAAATATATTTAATATAAAGGAAGGATAACAAAGCCATTATTAATAACATATACCGGAGTTTTTTAACTTATTTTTTAAATATTTTTAGTTGCATTAAATATATCTATTTGCTGGTAATTTGTGTTATAATCTGAAGGTATACGATACATGACTGAGTTACGTAAATAGTATGCAAAATGGTAAAATTTTTAAATAAAAATAATGTTGTATTTGAAACGTGTTATTGAGTGTAGGCTGTAACTATCTATATATTATATGCATGTATGTTTGGCCTATTATGCATACGATAAACTATGACTACTTAAACAACTGGAACAATTCCTTAACAAATGATACACTATATGCATTAATAGAATAATCTGTCTTCAGTATGAAATAAAGCAGTGTTGGCCTAGCGGCTTAAGCGTGCGATTATCGCCGTTGCCGTTTTAACACTGGCTCATACAGAGGCGAACATTGTAAGGAAATCGAAATATCGCAAATCGACAATTCAAGGACATATGTCTGGCACTCAAGGATTATCACAAGAAGGCTTTAAAAAATAAAATGCTTCAAGAAACGGATGACTCATTAAATATCGGAAATCTGTTAGTTTTTTAAGCAAAATAATGATACAATTCGGTGTAGACGTTCGTAGGTTTCGCGTACATTTAGGCGATTTCTTTTTATTGATGTAGATTTATTTCTTAATTAATAATACGATAGCTGTATTAATAAGTAGATTATTGTGTAAAGTAATTATTTCTCATATCCTTTACTAATAATCATGCGTGTTATAAAAAATATAATCTTTATGCGTGTATACTGTATATGTAACTTATATGGATGATATTATGCGCTGACTTCACTGAGTTCCGGAAATCAACTGTTTCGAGAAAATCTCTTACGAGCAACAAGCGTCTAACTTTATTCAGGTAAACAAGTACACTTATGAACGTCGAAAAAGAAGTTAAATTAATTGTAAATTTACATTTACTACCAGCTGGCAATTCAAGGGCATAGAGCGGGCAAGAAGAACTGGCAACAAACTTTCCGCCACTCATTTTAATTTTTGTTCTGAGTCAAACAAATTGTTTGAATTGGAGCAAATCAATCCCAAGGATTAGGATAATTTAAATATTCGTCAAATTTATAAAAAGCTTTATTGATTAATTTACGTTTAACGAGGGCTTTGAATTTATTTAGTGATAATTCTCTAATTTCGCTTGGGAGTTTGTTGTAAAAACGAAACGAAATTAAACGTCGCATATGGAACGCGTAACAAACAAACCAAGCGAACTACAGCCAGTGAAGCGACGATAGTCTATCTAAAGACTTGCAGGAAGATAAAACACGAGGATGGAATATTGCTGTGGAAAACCTCTGCCTCATCCAGGGCATTAGACATTAAGTTAAATTATTGTTGATACCATATTAATCAATAATATAATCGCTCATATCCGCAGCAACCAATATTATAAATTTTTATTGATTGATTTTACTTGATTTCTTTAAGATATTAAAAAACTCAAACTACACCACTACAAGTCGTCGGAAATATCTGCGAACCTGGCTTAATGACGTCATACAAACTGGAGAGATAGCAAAAAAATTGAAGATGTAAAAATAAAAAATATTTTATTTGTGTACTTATTTTTATTGATACTCGTACCTACCCATCTTACATACAGCACTAAATAGGTAGTTTATGTAATATTTCACCAAACAGAGAAACAATAAACACTAAAATGCGATTACGAAAGCAAAAGAATAATACACGTGCGTCGGCGATTGCGTTGGCAACGGTACTGGATAGGCGAAAACGGGGCGGGGTGCGGGGGCGCCAGGGGAAGCGCATTCCAGCGAGGTTCGCAGATATTTCCGACGGCTTGTACACGCAATACTCGTCGAGCGAGTTTGCTTTTCTTGCCGAAGCCGCGAACAAATTATTTGAAGAAGTCTATTAAGTATGAGGTGTGCAATTATTTAATCAATTACCGTGTAAAATTCGTAATATCAGCATTCATTATAGGCATTAAAGATACATATCGGAATGAGCCTAGTAGACTAAAATTGGGACGGCTGATGGCGACGTTTGTCTCGTTCGTATATACGTATTAAGTATGTAAATAAAATACATTTACACATTAATTTACAAGTACTATTTTTTTATTAAATTAATAAATTTTGGGTTTGCGATATTTACATAATAATTCATTTGATATATAATATAATTTAATATATAATATAATTTTATATCAATAAATTTAATTTTACGTTATAAATAAAATTTAAATTTTCTCTTCTTTGACACAAATCACACAGTCATCTCAAAAGATCAAACAGCGTTTGCGCGTACGATTCCCGACCCTGAGGTCGTGGGTTTAAATCACGGTTGTGCACCAATGCACATTCCGTGTGCGCATTTAACACTAGAAAGTACGAAATTCACAAATTAACGATATGCGTCAGACATAGTAAGACTAAATACTTGTGTATGAAGAAAAAAACAAAAACGGGTTCGAAAGTGCAAATAAACAAATTTGAATGCAAAACTGATTTATTTCTTGACATTAGCAATGCTTAAAAGTCTTTAACAACTTCCATAAATTTGGTCGTGTATTTTGAGTCAGGGTCATATTTCTTTAGGAATCTGTCGTGGTCATCTGGAGCGTTCGAGAGCAAACCGTTCATGTATGTGTTGGCCAAATGCTTCTGAGCGTCGTTACAACGGTTGCACAGGTTCTCTATGCTATCAGGAATTATTTCTGAAAATCAAAAATAAAATATTTCAATTTTCACATGGTTACGGATTACGATATATTTCGATTAATTTAAATTTTGACTTTCGTAACGTAAAGCAAGCAAGAAAATATCAGATTTTGAAAGAATTGTATCGAAATTGGTTTCGCCGTCTTATGTCAATTGTCTTTTAATTAGGATTAGACTAGCCAGTTAATTATTGAATTCATAATCAGTTTTATTTACAAAAAATTTCATTCTCTTAATATGAAATAGATTTTAGATTCACAAGATACTTGGAGGAAGTGCCGGGTAATTCAAATGTCATTGGGTCGGCCAGGTTGCCATTTTGGGATCTAACGTTTGATATGAAATACTTTTTTACTTACTTTTGTAACTCATTGCAACAACATCACATGAGCCTCTATCCAAGAAGCAGTCAGTCATGGCTTTGAGCTTCCCTGGATCGTTTATCACCGCCTTCATATCCAGGTTATCATCAGCAGTCGTATAGTAATCAATCGGGATGGCTAATGCAGCGCACACAACCGTTAACAGCACAATGATTTTCATCTTGAATTATTTAACCTATTTAAACAAAATGTATAAAGATGAATAAAAAAAGCAATTGATGCCTAGGACTAATGAATTTTCCAATGCGCATTTAATCATCACGCTTTATTTGCAGCACAAAAATTACATCAACTACACATTTGACAGTCCACTGGCTGCAAGCTGTTTAGGCAGTCTTGCCAAGATGGAGATTGGCTTAAAGAAATAAGGTTAAAATATACACAATACATCTTCTATATACTATAATACATCTTCAATCGTGAACTAAATCGTTAAATTTAATGATAATTCGCGCTTCTTACGCTCAATAAAAGTTATCTAATATAATGTAAATAATAATGTTATTGTAATCATTAAGTGTATTTCGCATGTTTCTATTAGTGTTAAATACAAGGCAAGTCAAAGTCAAAAATCAGCATTAAATGCTTCTAATTTTACATTTACTGCCAGTTCTCAAATCAAGGGCGTAGAACGGAAGAGAAGAACTGGCAATAAACTCTCCGGCACTCTTTTTAATCGCCAAGTTTTTTGTTTTACACAACGTTTGTAAGGAGCTGCAACCATTACACCATGTTCCACGTGACATCTTAAGTAATAAATAATAATAAAATAAATTAAAAACAAAGATCAGCAGAGGCAAGGCAGAAGGCATGGTGAAATAGGAGTATGCACTTACATTCTCGTGGGTTACGACTATATATACGACTGGTTATTTAAATATTAGATCCAGGCGTAAGTGGCTTTGTTTTACATTTAATCTATTAAGGAAGTTAAAATTTTGAACGAAAAGGTTACGAGAAAATTTTAAAAATAAATACAAAACAAAATCTATCCAGCAATTTTAGGAAATAAATAAGTAACCCAAAAATATACAAAAATCCGCCCGAGTCAGTTTTAAGTTGCTGTTAGAGGCATTATCTGTGGGCCCATCTTAAGTAATTTATAATAAGATAAGAATATTAGGTCCTTACATATGAAATTGGCATTTTGTATGGGAGGAACAAAAAGTCGAATATTTTTAAATATAATATATTTAATTAATCAAAGTATGAACCATTTTTTTTGTCTATCTATAGGTCATTGATCCCTTTACTAAAACCAGTCGGACGGCAAGCAATTGTGAACGTTTACTGCCCCATAGATTAAATTTTTCCCTTGCAAGAAGTTGTCCAAATTTCGAAGGTTCTTTGGAGCAGGGGTGTACGGACGATGTCTTAGACGGTCCAATTGAAGCTCTTCTAATTTGGTACTGTGTGGTGCAGTGTGTGGTCTAGCGTTGTCGTGAAGTACATGGCGTGGAGGATACCAGCCTGGTTGTTTAGCGAGCTTTTCCATGTTTGCTATTGCTGACTAGACATCAGCCGTAAAGTCTGCAGATTTATAACTGCAATGAACAACCGGCACTAGTCCGCACTTGACGCTGGCAGGATTTGGCTGGCTGGCCAGGATCCAACATTAGCTGAGCGCTTTCGATTATCGTAAAGAATCTTTTTTCATCACAGGTAATGATTCGCATAAAAAAAAACATATAAGTGGCCAGTAAAAATATTAAAGAAATATTAAAATGTTGTTACAAGCCCTGAGTTACTTAGATATAGAAATCTTCCAACAATATAATATGAGATACTTACCACAGTGAGATTTATAACGCACTAATAATTATAGATAAATAATAAGCTTTTATAGGAAATTTTATTGATTATATTCTTAGCAAATAATATAATATATATAAAAAATTCACGTTTTAATTAACGAGACAATCTATAATAATATTAAATGGTTACATACATACCTAACATAGTTTTATAATAGCTACATAATTTTATAGATATATTAAATTACTAAATACCATCTTTTCATAAATTGATTTAATATATTAACCAAAACAAATATTTATATCGCCTGTCAAATTTTCATAGCAAATGTCAGTCATGGCTTCAAAACCCCATAAGTACCTAATAAAGCCAATGGCCAGTACAAATTTAGGGAATACAACGTTTTCCATATATAATAAAAGCGATTGATTGATTTTAGCCTTTTTTTTCCAACACTTGTGTGTTATATTTGTATATACAGTATTTACAATATGCTTAACCTACATAGTCACAAAAAAATAAAATATTTAAAAAGGTATAAATTGGAAATTAAAACAAATTTTAAAACTTTGGTTTCTATGCTAACGTACCTTTAATGCTATTCGCCGGTACTATCTACCAGGCCCCAAATTAAATCTTTAATTAGCGCCTGTGCACGTAAACCCCAGAGTCCAAGTCTCAAGAGTCTCTACTCCAAAAGGACAACGTCAAAGTTGTGTCTAAACACCACTGCCACCAACCAGCCTTGCGCGGTCTGTAATTAAGGTGTGACTTAATAAGTTTTGGAATTCAGATTTACAAAGAGGATCATCCCAGCTCCTTAGAAAGTTGAAAAGTTATATCGATTGAATTAGCTATGATAATAAAAACACTTAAAAACGTTTTAAAATTGTCTGGTTTTAACTAATAATTAAATATGTATCTTAGCAAAACCATTAACTCCTAATATCTCTATCCATGGCTTTCTTTCTCCATTTGCTTCCTGCTAACCACCATCACTATCATCATCATCACCTTTTTTAAGAGTGCCCTCTTCCCCTAGGCCCTTTCGATTATGCCAAAAGTTGGAAGTAATTGTCACAAATGAAAAAAATATATAAAACTACTTTCTAAATTTATAAAATTATATACTATTACGATTGAACATTCTATTCTGTAGCAGTAGCTACAGAATCAGTAGATTCAAATTAAAAACATATTTTTCAGTTAAAAAGTCTTCTTATCGATAAATTTAAACAACAACGCTACGCCCTAACTGGCGCAGGCGAAACCGCGCTGAACGGCTTATATAAACAGAAAAAGAAAAAAAAAAAACACATGAATGAGAAATAATATATTATTGTCATTTATCAATAATCCTTAACAGCTCGATGAAGTCGTCAAAGTAAATTTTTTGAGGCCGCGGAGGTACGTGTTTGTCAAATCCTTCTGGGCGTTGCGTCTTTACATGGGTCACGCATGGGATTGACTTGCAAGAATGGGATTTGTGCTTCGAAGGGCAACCACGTTCACTAATATTAAAGCCATCTCAAGCTTGTACAATTGTGTAGTGTGCAACCCAAGTGTGCTCCAAGATCTCGATTTCTCTGTAACCATGGCATATGTACGACAGCCTTCAGAGTCAAACGGCAGTCGTAGAAACGAGTGTCTAAGATCAATTTTATATTGATTGTCATATAGTTTAAATGTTAAAAATTATGACAAATTACTTTTAATAATGTTAATAACAATGACTATGGAGTCATTATTACTATAGTTCTACCGAAATGACGTGGCAAATGGGGAAGTAAAAATTGGGTTAAATGATGTTGAATCTTGATACTGTTTAATTTTTATTTATGTCTTTGGTATTAATGAACATGAAGTATATAGTAGTATGAATAATGTTATTATATATCGGGTTCTTTAGTTAGGATTTTAAAAATTCCTTTATGCACTAATTTATTATATATCATTTAATTTTTTAATCATACAAATAACTTTAAACCTCATTCAGAACTAGAAAACGATTTGAAGAAATCCACTTGCATTACTTGTTCTTCATTAGATAATAAAGATAAAGAGGTGTTTATTATAAATCGCCCTTCCAGCAGTGCAATTAATTAATTAATTAAATATTATATGTTATTTGATGAACTCGTTTTCAATTTCTTAACATGTTCACAACATGTTTATCAATCCACTGCACCAATTTGTGAGAAAGCTTCTTCTGTTAATAATTTTATGTCACCGCCAGATCTATTTACATTTTGTATCAGCACCTTTTGCTTCATTATACTCCAAATAATTTCTATGGTATTTAAAGTCTCATATGAGGGCGCAGACCTGTTATGCTTCACTACTTCAAGAAGTTGACATTCACGCCAAACATCATCATAATGTATCATGCTAGATTTGGAATTAGTTTCTCTGTCAACCATTTTGTTAAATTGTGGTGATAAAGATACACATGTCGACCTGCACAACAGACAACAATTTGGTACAATGCCATTTTTTCCACCAGCTGCAGCTGCAATGAACCACGTCGTTTCAAGTGAAATACTTAGATAGACGGATTTTTATTTTTATTTATGTTCGAATTACATTTACGTGACAATAGATAGCAAAAACAGCCGTAGAAAATGTATTTTAATAAATATAATATGATATTTTAAATCAGATTTACCTTATCGTTACATAGATGAGTCTTATTTGTCTACTTAATAAAAATAAAAATAAAAGACTATTCATTAGAAAAATATAGCGTTTCAAAATAGTCTGAAGTACTCTTTACAGCATAGCTGTAGATTAATCTGGATGAGTTATTCTGCTTTAATTTACGGACAATTTATATCTGGCATTCGCCTATTTTAAATTCATCTGGGACAAAAGGCGTTCAGGAAAGCAGTTTGATGTTGGGATACTTAAAATGAAAGATACTAGTTTCACATTCCTGGTATCTTTTTTTGGAAACTGTTGAAAGAGCTGGTGCAATTTTTGTGCATGGCAGTGGTGTCTTGAGTGACGATTGAGTTATCCCCAAAAAGCGGGAATAAGCAACACAGTGGGCCACCACTCACATTTAATTTTCATTCAAAAATCGGGACGTCGTGCCCAAATCGTGTGTACTTCTGGTTTGGTTTCCTAATAAAATCTTCTAACTGCAAAATTACAGGTTTCAATAAAAATACACCAGTGGCACTACAACCTTTTTTTCTGGTTTGGGCCTTAGATATGGATCTGTTTCATGATCATTTGTCAATCTAAGAAGCAAGTAAGTGATTAGCCTCCTGTGCCTGTCACATGTAGTATATTTTTTGGGTCTAAGACAAGCCGGTTTCCTCACGATGTTTTCCTTCACCGAGCGAATGTTAAATGCGCACATATAAAGAAAGTCCAAAGCCCGGGATCGAACGTACGACCTCAGGGATGAGAGTCGTGAAGCCACTAGGCCAACACTTTTCTCAAGAATTTTAGGTTATCCATTGTTTTATTACTTGTTTAAAAATCCGGTTAGATATAACTAAATTGATTCTATGAATTTTTTTTAAATGTAACGTTGATAAAACCATGAAATTAATAAAATGTTTTATTTCATGGTGAAAAATATATAAAATTGATTTTCGAGATATCGAGTATAAAATGCAGTTTCTGTGAGAAGTATTAAGTTGTCGACTACCGTCTTTAGTTCTTGACTTGGTAAGAATTCTTAATAATTATGGCTATTTAATATTAAAGGTTTACGCATAATACGAGAGTCACAATCAAAGTCAAAAATCATTTAATCATAAAGGTAACATAAATCAAGGGCGTAGAAAGGATGAGAAGAATTACTGGCAATAAACTCTCCGCCACTCTTTTTAATCGCCAAGTTTTTTGTTTTACACAACATATGTAAGGAGCTGCAACCATTACACCATGTTCCACATGAAATCTTAAGTAATAAATAATAATAAAATAAATTAAAAACACTCTCGTGGGAACAACACACAAATACATAGTCGATATAACTAACATCACTGCATACACGAGTTTAAGTACGACCAGTCACCACCAGTATAGTCCATAATTTTCAAGTTTTGAAATTTTTGAATGAACTACATTTTTATTAACATTATGCATAAGAAGAGCAGACTCAAATCAAAAATCACTATATAGTTTTGTTTTTAAAAGCAATAAATTTGTTTATTAGTTAGCCACTTCTCGCGTTTCGTAACGAAATTTAACATGTAAAGTATACGTGTATGCCGTGAAAAATATTTCATGTCACAAAATACTGATCAAAATATCATTCAAAATCTTAAAGCACAACAATAACTTTGATTTCACGTTTATGATATTATTATTTTACTAGCTGGTGCCCGCGACTTCGTCTGCGCGGGATTAAAATAATATTTGTTCAAATGCTACAGCATGAAAGACTATTATATCGCTTCCCAACCCGTACTTACCACATGCCACTTAACAAGTTTAATTTTATTATGAAAAAAAGAGACGACCCAAATTGTACACGATGTGAGAGAGAAGAGAAACTCCTACATTTAGTTCTCGAGTGTAAAATAAACGAAAAAGCTAGGTTGGATTTCCTAAAGGAAACTCGATGTTCTACTGGCGACTTTCTCTTCTTTCTTCATCAAATATTAAGTTCAGGGTTCACTGCCAAATTTAGTGATAGATTTATAAGTTATATTATAGACTCATTGAACATTAGATCTGAATACTATAAAAATGCTCGTTAACTAGTAAACTGTTAGAGTAATACTTAAACCTTAATCAACGTTTTTATATTTTTAAGCCGCCTGAATCATTAGATGTATGGCTTATAAAATAAATAAGATTAAAAAAAAGAGACTATTATATCTACCTTAAAAACCATCAATCAATTTATACGAGGTGCATTTGAAATAATTATCATATTTTATTGTAGTTATGGTTCACTATTTTGGCTATAATGGCTCACCCATAACATATTGATAAGCTGTGGCGGGCTTTTTCGTAGGACTATTACATTATTATGTATAATGGTGGCTGTACACACTCGTCGAGACACCGCGAGTGCGAGAGTGTACAGTAGAGCTCTCGTCTCGTCTCGCTTCCTCGCAGTTGGTCTAGCCTCTCTCGGTCGCCTGTCGGTTTTTTGCGCACGAGTCAAAGGGTCTCGCGAGTAAAACGAGAGCGACCTGTACACACTCGTTCAATCATTAAATTTTGGATAATATTAAAACTTTATGATCCTAATTACCAATTTCTGTTGCGGTGTATAGTGCCCATCTTCTTCTTCGCCATGGCTTTGTATTTTTTTAATGGTTAACGTGAAGAAAATTATAATAACTCATTGCACAAAGACAAACAGCAGCAGCAGTTGCCACGTCCATTATTAACGGTGTTTTAAATACAATTAACGTAACGAGTGTGTACAGGCTGCGCTCTTCTCTCGGTCCTCTCGGTCGAGACTCCCGGCGAGAAGCTCTCGCCGAGTGTGTACAGCCACCATAACTCTAGCAGTTTTGGCAGCGCACGCCAGAATAGCTCGCAGATGGTAGATTTTTTCCTGCTCACTGTATTTTGGACAATTCACACAATATCTTTATAAATCGTAGCCTATGTTTTTTTTTTTTTTTTTTTTTTTTAGAACGGGGGCAAACGGGCAGGAGGCTCACCTGATGTTAGTGATACCGCCGCCCATGGACACTCTCAATGCCAGAGGGCTCGCGAGTGGTTGCGGCCTTTTAAAAATTGGTACGCTCTTTCTTGAAGGACCCTAAGTCGAATTGTTCGGGAATATTAGTGGGAGCTGGTTCCACATAGTGGTGGTGGCGGCAAAAACTGCCTTGAGAAACGTCAGTGGGAACGTGGAGTGAGGTGATAGGGTGGAATTTCGTATTCTGCCTCGATATGATGAAACTAGCTGAGGTATTAATCCGAACAACTCCTCTGAACACTCTCCATGGTAAATGCGTAGAAGATGAGAGTGACCCCACATCTCTACGCAACGCCAAAGGATCAAGCCGCTCGGAGAGGGATTGTCGTCAAGATTGAACCGCTCTGCGTTGTAAGGTCAAGTGGAAGGAGCTGGTACTGGGGAGCCCCGCAGAGGTGAGAGAGTACTCCATGTGGGGCCGAATTTGTTTATATAGTTGATGCGGGGGAGTGAAGTACGTCTGCCTTATGAGACACCAAGCTTTTGGAGGCTAATTTAGCCTTTCCCTCAAGTGACCGCGAAACTGAACGTCACTCGATATGTCAACGCCAAGTATTCAATGCTGGCTGTGGCTTTAAGAAGAGTGTTTTCGAAAAGAGGAGTAGCGACAAGGGTGTTTTTTTAGCGGAAAAGGAAACTTGTGTCTTCTTGGGGTTAAATTGACTAGTTTTGTTGCCCAATTGAGACTCAGAAGTAGAGTTTCAACTTCAGACAAAGTTTGTTCCGGTATCATCAACAACTGCCGAGAAATACCTGCCCGGCCAGTGTAAAAGTATCCCCAGTACTGTCATCCGCATAGAATGAATTTGCTAATTTCAACATATCATTGATATAGAAGAAATAGGGTCGGGGATAGAACACAGCCTTGTGGACCCCAGGTTTAGGGTTTTAGGTCGGAACATGCTCCGTCGATGACGACCTTGATGCTCGATCGGCCAGAAAGCTGGAGATCCAATTGCGTATTTTTGGGAAGCCATGGTGGAAGCTTGAGGCAGCTTTGCAACCCGATCGAAGGCTTTGCTATGTCCAAACTAACGTGGCTCCCTTGGACTCAATTGCCTCTGCCCATCTATGTGTAAGGTATAAAGAAGGTACAGCCGAACGACCAGACGAAAGCCGTACTGATAATCTAATCAGCTGGTGGCCCTCTAGATACCTCAAGAGCTGGCAATTAAAATGGATTCCATTATTTTGGAGAACAAGGAGGTTATAGTATTGGGCGAATTGGAGGATAGAGCATGCCTTTTTTAGGGATCGATTATCAGCGGTCTTCAGATTCGGACAGTCGAGCGAGTAAGGTAGGAAAAGGTTAAGACCGAGCCAACTCAGGAGACAAGTACAGCAAATTGGGGGGATACCATGCCGTCGACTTATGAATTCAGGAAGATAGTTTTGCGGACGGATTGGGAATGTGATTTGATCGAAGAATCACACCGGAAATGGTGGTGGTGATCTCCCTCGGTCATAAAGTGATTAGAGCGAAGAAAGCAAAAGGTAGCTTCTCCTTCGAGTGTGGGAGAGAGTCTCTCCTTGGTGGGGAATGGGGCTGACAAAATTCCTTGGAAGTTTGGAGAGACCAGAAGGTCGAGTCTGATGGGAGTTGGCATCTCTCAAATCTGGAATGTCTGTTGTGATTTCTTTGGACCTGGAGGCTGATTATAGTTTTAATTGTGGTAGGATACGAGATTTCGGTTCCGCCCATGCCTTAAAGATTCTTTTCGAGGAGGGCCTTGAAGAACGTTTAACCAGGGTGAATTGCACCGATGGACGAGAAAATGGAATAAAGAGTTCCATGCCCTGCAGAACCACTTGGCGAAGAGGCGGCGACGGAATTGGAGCTTCCGGGAAAAGAATAGGCCCCCAGGTAGGAGCAAAGAAAGACCGATCCGTCCCAATCTGCTGACTTATAGTGCCAAATACGGCGACAACCCATAAAGCGGGGCCGTGAAGGGCGCTAGATGGCACAGTACTCGGACCACAAATGATCTGATGAACCAATGGCGGGTCAACAGAGACTTGATATTTCGATGAGAAGTAGAGAAGGTCCAACAAAGAGGGTTTATGACCATCCACATCTGGTATTGGTAATGAGGGAATTTGTGTCAGGTGTAGGCTAAAGCAAAGTGTGAAAGGATTTCCCGTATGGTTGAGGAGCAATGGATGTTATATATATGTATATATTATTTATGTATGTGATGTATAAGCTATATAATGGTAAAGTTTCATTTAAATCCATTCTGTCGTTTTTACGTCAAAGAGTAACAAACATCCATCCATACTTACAAACTTTCCTGTTTATAATATTAGTATGATAATATTTTTGCATGTAGCTCCAGCCAAAAGTCAAGATGCAAACCATCATTCTTATCGCTGCTCTGTTTGGTGCTGTTATGGCTGACCTACATTCATTTCATGACCATGGCCCAGAAATTCAACGCTTACCACTTAGGCCTCATGGAAAACCATGTCCACATCCACACAAACACCAAGGAATACAAAGACTTCCCCAGCGAAATGTACACCAAGAACCACTGCGGCCAATTTTCCAATTAGGACCACCAGTTCAACCACAGCTACCCCGGCGAATTTTACACCAAAGACGCCGCGGAAGGGCTCCACACCATCATCACCATCACCCCTCTTTTCAAGTCGACGATGACCATTTATGGAGTATGAAATCTGCTGCGAGGATTCGTTTTATAATGAAATGTTTGTTGATGTTGAATTCTTTAAATGAAGCTGAGGATGATAACAGAGGTAGATTTTTTTTAATTTGAAAGTTACATACATATATATTTTTAATGTAGTCTTAATTAATAACGACACACAAATCTTCAAGGCCGGCACTTGCAAGCCTTCTGGCCATGGGCGGCGGTATCACTTAACACCAGGAATGCCTCCTGCCCGTTTGTAATAAAAAAAAACTGAAGAGTGGGAAGTATTATACTAAATAGTTTATATAAGTTATAATAGGATAGATTCAGAACACATATAATTTTATTATCCACGAGTAATAAGATAAAATTCATGAATTACGAAGAGAAGATACGAACAAGCATTCCTAAAATAAGAGACATTAATGGATGGAGGCAGGAGACAGAGGATGTATAATAGTAATATTACATATATCATGTATTTCATCGTCGGACGTCGAGGCAGAATACGAAATTCCACCAGTGTCAATTCTGAGCGTTTTAAAGGCAGTATTTGCCGCGCATCACCACTATGTGGCACCAGCTGCCCACTGAAGTATTTCCGAACCAATTCGACTTAGGGTCCTTCAAGAAAAGAACGTACCAATTCGTAAAAGGCCGGCAACGCAATCGCGAGCCCTCTGGCATTGGGCGGCGGTATCACTTAACATCAGATGAGCCTCTTGCCCGTTTGCCCCCTGTGCTATAAAAAAAATATTACGAGGGCTATTATATGCTGATTAGTCTTTATATCTTAATATATATATTTCTTGTGTGCGTGTGTATGTGACTGAACTTCTCTCAAACGACTGGACCGATTTTGATGAATTTTTTTGTGTGTGTTCAAGGGGATCTGGGAATGGTTTAGATTCACAAATCAGCCCGGCAGATGGCACTGCAGTCGGTACTTTCATACTTTGCTTAATATCCTAATCGCTTTAAATATCATGCAGGACAACGTCTGTGGGGTCCACTAGTAAAATATATATTTCTAATATAACATTTTAGAAAAAGACGACTGAGAAAGACGTATCAATGACAGTTTAAGAACAAATATATAAATTACATTTAGTTAATACAAACTAATTAATAAAATATATTTAGTATTCTAATTAATTTGTATACTAATTAATAAAATAAATACAAAAATTTATTCTAAAACTTATATATATGCACTCCGCAAATATATGACAAACTTTTCGTCATATGCTTAATATTGTTATATAATATTTATATGAGTAGGTATACCCTTTCACAATATTGAAATATACGAATAGAAAATGTTAATTCCACAAATATATTTTTATTCCAGCTGACATTGGTGAGGGGAAACGCCATCCAGATCACGTCCGCCGGGATGACATTCTCTGGACTAAAGTGGGAAGTAATCAACCCAAGCCTGAAAGACCTTCCGGAAATTCCGAAAGCAGTGAGGAGGACTAAGAAAATTTTTAAACAGGCTATTTGAGACGACTGCGTGATAAAAAAAAGACAGTGCTAGCATCTCTTGATTTGCTTTTATTTAATTAGCATAGTAAATTGTTTGTATCGTTCTTGAAATTTCTTATTTCATATGAATAAACAAATATTAAATGTTATATTGGTATAATTATCTTTATAATACAACCTCAGGTTCTACAAAATACATTAATTAAAATCCGTCTTTTTATCCTACTCTTACCTACACTAACAAACTATACTTATAAAAAAAGTGCGTGAGTAAAAAAGTGAAACTTCTTTGGCAAACAAATTTTTAAGTCTTGTTCATATTTATACAAATCTAAAACTTTAGATTTCCGAGACTTAGAGGGAGGGAAAAAGGAAGATGTGTTACGGCCTGGCCACGGGGATCGGCGGTGCGAACGGCGAAGCGGGAGGCGAGGCGACCATTCACGTTCGCCGCCGCGACCAGTAAGGAAGTTCGACAGCGAAATGTCTTTATCGATATCATCTCGATATTGCTTGGAAAGTAATAGCTTTTGGTTCAAGACCTAATATTTGGAAGAGATTGTGGAGTACATGATTCAAATAAGATTCGGAATCGAAGGTATAGATGGAGAATTCCACCAAGATAGTATAAGAAATACAGAATATATCCAAAAAAAAAATTTTTTCAGTATACCAGAATGAGTATTGAAACCTTCGATTATATTCTTATGAATATTCAACCAGAATTGGAGAAAAAAGTTAATGCAAATAGAATTTTAAGTGCCGCTGAAAAATTCTTCGCCGCGAAAACGACTAAACTTATTTAATCCCTGCTCTATTTGCCGCGACTGCCGCTCGATTCGCTTACGCCGTACTGATTCATGCCTTTGTTTCGCTCGCCCGTCGCGAGGCCAGTCGCCCGCGCGGTTTGCTCGGTACGATTCGCCGGTCGCCGTTGCGCGTGGCTTGATTAGTACATTGCTATGAGTTTATTTCAGTCGCTAGACGCTTCGCTGTTCGCACCGCGTGAATATTCGCATCGGCGAATGTCCCGTGGCCAGGCAGTTAGGAATTAAATGAATTAAACTGTCGAAAATGAATACACATTATAAATTTAATTTAAAAAAAATATTAAATACTAATACTTCATAAATTCTCTTTACGAAATTTTTATTTTGAAAATATAATTGGATATAGAATTCTATAAGGTAATTCGCCCTTCTCACCTTCTCTCAATCGGTCTCAATCGCTCTCTCCCTTTTCTTCGACAAAAACGCTGCACATCTTCGTGACGCTAATATTATTATAATAGCGTTTCATCCGTAAAAAATGTACCTTCAAGCGCCTAAAGATGTTTCACTTCAAAATAAAAATAGCCTTTTACACTCGACCTTCGTCGGAGTGCAGGCATCCTCCAAATCCTCCTGAAACTCCAATTCTGACCCCCTATCCCCTTTGTTCCATCTTCCCAATTTTCTAGTGGGCGTCCTCTCTTTCTTCTTCCCACTGGGCCATTCCCAATAAGGGTCTCTTGACCCATCTGCCATCACAAATGCGGTTAATGTGACCGGCCCACTTAAACTCTTTTGTATGTGTTACGTGTTTGATGTTTGTACGGCTTCGTATCACATCGTTTTTAACTTTGTCTTTAATTTTCAATCGAAGTTTCCAACAAACTATACATTACACAAAATTAATGAACGTTAAGCAGCTGTATCAATACTTAACAAGCGTTTTAGTTTCCAAAAACGTCCTTCCTATCCGGTACACTCTTGACAGAGCGGTCGTGATCGGGCAGATGTGATGCGCTTCACGACGTTTCGCCATCGTTGCCTATTAGAGGTCATCCTGCTGCACTGATTGAGTGATTCTCCTACAGCAGACTTGATTTGGTCAGTCCATCGCGTAGATGACCTTCCGCGCGGTCTAGTGCCTTCCAGCTTCCCCTGGACGACAAGGCGTCCTATGGACTGATCACCACGGCGAGATACGTGTCCGAACAATGTAAGAATGCGAGATTGCACTGTTGAAAACAGACGCTGTTTAATACCGAGTTCTCGAGGTATCGAGACGTTTGTACGAAACTCGGTCCACGAAACCCCGAGCATTCTCCTCCAGCACCACCTTTCCAGAGTGTCTATTTTCTGCGTTTCCACATCTCGCAAGGTTCACGTTTCAGCTGCGTACAGAAATATGGAGAATATTAGTGTCTTCGTGGCTTTTGTTATATTCCTGTTTCTCCATATTTTTTGTATCTTGACCATCGCCGTTCTTGTGATGCCCATACGTCGTTTAATCTAATCGATGCATCCACTATTGCTTAAAATCTGAGCCCCAAGATAAAAATAAGATTGGACCACGTTGCATTTCTCGATTTGAGTCACTTGAGGCGAATTATTTCTGGCATGGTCAACAATCATCTCCTTGGTTTTGCTGCGCTGTTGGGCTGTCTTATGCACCACAAAACCTGTACCTAGCTTATGGTGTTTCTCATAGCCACTGTAGTATACGGTAAAGTCTCTTTTTTGCATGCATCCACTCCCTGTCCATCTCATTCCTTGTAGCGCCAATATATCTGGTCAATATGGTGTAATTTGTTCCGTGAGAGTCCTTAAAGCCCCAGGTCTGTTTAAAGTTCTAACATTCCACGGGCATAGGCGAAAAACATTGTCCTTATTCTTGCCAGCTCGTTTAGATGAAATCGGTCCGGTTTTATGTACTTTAGGTTTCATAATCGGTTGGTTTTTGACTGGACAGGTTAGTCCATCGCAGTCTAGACACTTGACTTTTAATTTCGGATATGAAATTAATATGCTTAACAATAAAATGTATGGATTTTTCGTAAACATGCGCAATGAGATATGCATAGTTTAAAAATATTACGATGCAATAATTGAAAAATCACAAAATATATTAATTACTTAAGCATATTCTGCATGTTACTCATTACATCATACAATTTATTATTTCGAGGGCAAAAACTAGCACGAAAAATAAGTTAATTATACTTGATGATACTGCGACTTAGTTTTGCCTACTATTAGATCATTTTGTGACTGGTTATATACATGTATATGTATGTTTTATTTTATACTATGTTACTGCCTTAAATAGGCTAGATTAGTATGGTGATAAATAAAATATTATGTACATTTGTAAAATATAGATATAGGTGGAATTGAAAGAATTTAGTTTGATTCATTAAACGATGTGTTAGTGGGTTGACAATGAAAAGACAAAGTCATCACAAATCGCCATTCTTTTGATTGTGATTGATAATTATCATCAAGTATAATAGTCTCACGAAACGATCCGTATTTCCTGATGACGTGTTTCGTGGCATGGGTATGTTCGCGTAGGCTTAGTAAAGTTTTATTGCTTGAAATTTATGATGATAGAAACAAATCGATACACTCTCGGGATGAGTAATTGTTTTTAATTGTAAAACAAATATTATTTATCTTTTTAGATATAAACGTTACCTATTATATATACAAGAATATTGTATGATCTTTGTCTTACACACAATTATTTATCATTAAATTGTACAAACTTTTAATCCGTCAAAGGACTTAAAGGAATTCTATATAAAAAGCTCATAAGCTAACTTGAGTTTTATTGCACTAAAGGCTTTACAAATAGATAACATCCTCCGTCTAGACCAAGGTCAAAACTGTTCCGGTTTTTAGTGTTCAAAAAAACGTTGTTTTTTTGGTTAATGGCTAATTGCCAGACTAACGACTTTAATAGTCTTGCAATGAGTTTAAATCTTAATAATAGACACCTAAAAACATAAAATTAATTTTATCGCTTACCAGATCGTAAAATAAGTTTATTTCACGTAATTTAATTTACATGATAATGTTTAAATTACTTTTTATTTTAAAAACGTTTAAGTTTTTTCCGAAGATACTTATAGAAAAAATATATACTTAAGATAGATATAACACGGCAGAGTGGGAAAATAAATGGACAGTTAGAAAGTTTTACTTTTAGTGACGTTTGTTGAAAGACTTAAACAAACTGAAAAGTTACACTAAAAAGCACACGCTTGCAACACTTACACTATGTAACGTCAAAGTCAAAATAATTTATTCATATAGTGTACATTATACTTATGAACTTCAAAAAAAAGAAAATTTATATATATATATATGAAATGCTTCTAATTTTACATTTACTGCCAGTTCTCAAATCAACGGCGTAGAACGGAAGAGAAGAACGGGCAATAAACTCTAAGGTTGATAATAGAACTGCACTGCAAATTCGATCGCTAGAACTCGTATCAACCCTGTATTAAAATTCGTGCACACAAAGAAAAAATAAATATGACATTATATACAATTGTATTTGACTGACCCTTTTGTTCCATAACATTAAGTCCGCCCGCGTTCTAACTATGTTTTGTATGCACGCGATAAACTCAAAAACTGTCAGTATTCTCTCACAGGAATCATTAAAAATCGACGCTACAACCTTTTTGATATGGGCGTCAGATTTTTATATTTGTTTCTGGATCACACATTGGCACGTAGGCCTTCTGTGCCTGACACATGTCTCCGATTTTTGAGACACGTGGATCGTGGATCCACGATGTTTTCCTTCTCCGCACATAGAAAGTCCATTGCAAAGCTGGGGCTGGAACTTTTTTTGCCGTTTCCCTAGCTTTAATTAATTTATTTATTTCGTAATCCTACAGCTAATGAAAATATATGTTCCCTTTTTTGTCTTTAGCTATTAACGCTTCCCATTTTCTACTTCTTTCCAACTTAGCTCTGTACTTTTGATCCTCTTTTAGTTCTTTTTTACTCTATCTTTTTCTTTTCTTTCTTTTTTTTTATGTAATAGGAGGCAAACGGGCAGGAGGCTCACCTGATGTTAAGTGATACCGCCGCCCATGGACACTCACAATGCCAGAAGGCTCGCAAGTGCGTTGCCGGCCTTTCAAGAATTGGTACGCTCTTTTCTTGAAGGACCCTTAGTCGAATTGGTTCGGAAATACTTCTTTGAGGAGC